CGGGGTGCTGGGTGCCGGGGCCGGGGTCCCGCGGGGGTGCCGGGGGTCGGGCGGGCGCGGGGGTCTTCAGCGGGGTCCGGGGGTCGGCGCCCCCGCGGGAGGGGGTCCGGGGGTGAAATTCCGGCCCCGGCTTTGCCCCCGGGGTCCCCGGGTGACAACCCTGGAGTCTAGGACCAGTACGGGCGATATCAGAGTCTGCAATGATGTTTCCCTCCAAAGGGGAGGAGGTACCGGTTGCGTGGAGGCCGCGCGGCCTGGAAGTCACTGCCCAAGAGGCAAGTTGGCCGCTATAACTCCAGGAAGAACGAAGTGCTCCTCCTCATTTGCTGCGTGCAAGTTTGGACGTCACGCTGTTGGAGCGCTGGTTGGAGCGCTGCTGAGTCTAGCATTGGGGAAAAAGAGGAGCGCCCAGCTCCCCACCCTAGCTATGGTGGACGAGCTCAGGTGGGAGGAGGAGGAAGAAGGGGACTAGGGTGGGGAAGCGCCAAAGGTACTTACCTTGCTATGGTGGATGCCATCTTCATCATCTTTGCAATCAGACTCGACTTCAGACTTGCTTCCTACATGCACACACACGAACTGGTGCCAAAACCCAACTCTTTCAACTCAGAATAAACAACAAACATGCACTTAAACTCTGTTCAAGGCAACTGTACAACTTGCGGCTATGGCCGCCGAACACAGTCTCCACGACCAGCTTCACTCTCCCTCATGCACGCATGTACGAGGATCTACCCTGAATGTCCACGCAACACAGGCACACACACTCTCCACCCTCCGTCTGTGTCAGCCGCTGGGCGGTTATGGCCGCCGTCGTCCTCCTCCTTCTAGCTATGGCCGCCGGTGTCTTCCTCACTGGCCAGCTATGGCCGCTATCTTCCTCCCTTCCCACTTCCTCTCCGGGCACCTGGAGACGTCCACGCACAAGATACCAAGGCAGCTCTTCCGCATGGCTCACAGGTGAATGAATGAATGGCTGGACACTGCCTCTTTATTTTTACTTCTTCGGAGGTACCCGGTCCTGCCTCCAACCCGCGTGGCCTGGGCCAAACCGCGTGATGCAGGCCCTCAAAATGGGTATTCTGGAGACTTCTCCAGAACGCGTGGGCCTCCCCCTTTCCCCACGTGCAGCCCTCACCTGGTACCTGCTGATTGGACTGCCTACAGGGAACCACGGACTTCTAGAACCTACAGACCAATAGACAGACTCTAGGCCTGCAGTAGACTTAGGTAGAGACTTCTAGAACAGACCTTTCTAAGCCTACCGGTAATAGACTCAACCTCTCAACTACAGACCTAAGGATCGAGTCCTACACAGATAATTGGGTCTATGTATAGGGTACAGGGTAGGTCTAGGGATCGAATCTCACTCAGCACACAGGGTGAATGTACAGGGTTCGGGCACAGGTCTAGGGATCGGCTCTCGGTGTCTGCAAATGTCCGGTCAACTGGGTGAAACCGTTTCACTCCTTCCGTCCTAAATTCGAGGTCCTCCGAGAACACTCTAACTCAAGATAGGACATTTACTTTTTCTTTCTCTTTCATAAGCGTGTACTATGTCGGGAGCGGTTTC